GGTATGGTACATCATACCCAATTATATTAAGTAGCTTATTGAAGATCTAAGATTTCTATTAACCCCTAAAAATGACAAACGAAAAGCAAAATTTATCGGATATTTTGAAATCAGCCATGAGTATTCGAAGGGATCCGAGACAGAGAAAAGTGACGAATGTAGAAGTAGAAAACAACACTATAACTTCAAATCGAGCTATTACCAAAAGAAAATGTGCTAATTGCACTTGTGAGTTAAGTAAAAATAGTGAAGCTGAAGGAACCGACTTAACAAAATCTATAGGTGAAAAAAAAATTGAAAAATCATCGTGTGGAAGTTGTTACTTGGGGGATGCCTTTAGATGTGCTGGATGTCCCTACCAAGGTATGCCTCCTTTTAAAGAAGGAGAAGAAATTAAGTTTGACGATGATGTGGATGATTTATAACTTTAATCCGCCATAATACATTTAATAAATAGCTATGATAAGTTTGGGTATCAAAAGTTGTTATAATCAATTTTATATCTATTAAACATTATTTAGATTAACATTAATTTATTGAGATATTGTATCATCGTATAATAATTTATGAGCTTAGTTTTTTCTACAAAAAGCACATTAATTTTGCACTTTGTGTTTATTCTCAGATATGCAGTTGTTAGAACATAACACTATAAATTCCAAACTGTAATAAAATATTAAGGATTTAGAACCTAGAACATCAATATCTAAATAGTGACATTGCTAAAACAATCAAGTTCTTATTGACTCAAGTATCTGCATATTACCTAGCGTATTAATTATCTACTGCTACAAATACATTTCAGCTAGCTAATCAATGAAGGATAAAAACAACAATGTTGAATATTTTCTGAATGCATTTATTTAGAAGCATTTTCTGTGAACTACACTTGGACCATACTCATTGTACTCTTCTCTAGAAACCCACATATGCTGGAATGTGCTTAATGATGCAAGGATAGATCCACCAATCCAAACAGAATACTTTCTTTCTGCCGGTGCAATAACTTTCACTGAAATAGTAGATGGTGCCAACTTTGTAACTTCAGCCTGGATTCTTTCAGCTATGTTTGGAAAACATGTGGATCCACCCGAAAGGACAATACTTCCATAAAGATCTTTTCTAATATCAACATCACATTTCATAATTGAATCGAAGATAGTCCTATGAATTCCACTGGATTCAACCCCACTCATGGATGGATTGAAGAGGGTCTCAGGTCCCCTAAATCTTTGTGTTCCTGCCTTAATCTTTGATCCATCAGGCAATTCATACTCAACTTCCTCTGTATTGTTCTTAAGCTCATTTTCATAATCAAGGGAGACATAGCAGAGCTTTTCTTTCATTGATCTGACAATTTCTGATTCTGCAGTGGTTGTAAGGACTGCACCTGACTCTGTGAGGATTTTTCTAAGATATTCTGTAATATCACGACCAGCCAAGTCAATTCGCTTTACTGCATGAGGAAGACTGTAGCCCTCATAGATTGGAACCACATGGGAAACACCATCACCCGAATCAAACACAATACCTGTCGTACGTCCTGAAGCATATAGTGAGAGAACCGCCTGTATTTGAAGATACCAGGATGGCACATTGAATGTCTCAAACATTATTTCCAACATCTTTTCTCTGTTTGCCTTTGGATTCAATGGTGCTTCTGTCAAGAGAATAGGATGCTCTTCTGGTGCTACTCTAAGCTCATTGTAAAAGGTATGACGCCATATCATAGTCATGTGATCCCAGTTGGTGACAATACCATGCTCAATAGGATATTTTAGTGACAAAATCCCTCTTTTTTTTTGGGCTTCATCACCCAAATAGAAATCCTTCTGTCCCATG